TGGGTGGGTGGTTGGGTGGGTGGGTGAGTGCGTGGGTGTGCGCGCCAAACCCATGTGTGCTGCAACATCATGTTGTTGTAATGTTTGTGCCGCCCTCCAGCTAAGGGATATTGGTGGCTTTGCATTATTTTGCATCTATGTGTCAACCAGCTGCGTCGCCATGCACCTCGGCGACGTCCATGTACATCCTGTACATTCTGTACAGTGTGCACGTCTTTTTCACTCATCCAGAGAACTGCGATGCATTGCGGTCGAGATTTTAACTAACTCCAGGTGCAGCTTCAAGAGTTGCACTCGTGATCGGATGAAGCCATTGACCTGCTTTTGTCCGTTTCCATGCTTTAAGGCCAAAAGAAGGCCGATTGCAAAGCTGCATGGAACCACAAGAAGGATGACGAGACTTGACTGCGTCCTGACGAACTTTTGCTGTCCTAAAGCCTTTCCGTCTTCGAGGCGGAACGAACAGCTGCATACCGCAAGCCCCCCGACCCACTGAGGATCTGAGCGACCAGGCAACATGCAGGGCTTTTGGGCGGTTTGCTCGATTGCCACACCTGGGACAGCGGACTCGTCACATGTCTATCTGACAGACCCGTAACAGTGCGGGATGCCACCTCCTTCTGGCTCAGACCGTCCAGACCCACTCGGCAAGCCCTTAGCCAATGCTGTTACAATCCTTGGCAGGACTTCCTCTCCATGGGCATGCCGGCAGAGCCGCACTGTGAGGCCGGCTTCCAGCCGGCGACGCAGCTGAAACTCAGCCAAAAGAGCGCGGCTTGTTGTTTGCAATTCAAGGCTTACGATGCTCCTGGCGCGTGCCACCAAATTTTGAGACGAACAGCAAGCGCTGGCTCTACGATGCTCCAAGTAGTACAGACTGCGCTTACAAGAACAGAGCACCCAAGCAGAACCTTGAGACTATTTCATATGCATTCCATGCATATCTATCCCACAGCCGCTCCCTTATTCACGTTACGCTCACGTGTATCTGGATATACACATGTAATGAGATTGGTGCTCTGTGAGCATTGCGCAGTGTGCCGCCCTGTCCCGTTGTGGTACGAGCGCCAAAAAAGCTGCAGGTTATGGAGACCACTTCCATGGCAGAAAGCGACTTTGGGAGCTCCGCTTTCGGTTGCAGTGCTCTTGCAGCAGTGCGTGGGTTGTTGAATTGACGGTTGCATGCAGAAGGTTTGCGCAGGTTGCTCATGAGCACGCCGGATTGTGGGGAGGCTTCAGTTTGTGAGCCATCTACAGCTTCAGTTAAGGCGCGCTGAAGCTTTACACAATGCTTCTGCTTTCGCACGCCTTTTTGACTTGGGACTCCCACGGCTAATTGAGTCTTAGCGGTCTTAGCGATGCACAAGATGCCAACAGCAGCGAGAGGGAGGGAGAGAGAGAGGGTACAACTACAACGTTCGGGAATGCCGTCACTGCCCCCAGCAATGACTGGGGCAAAGCCCTCGTGTGAGCCCCAATACCCAGCAGCGACGGGTACAACTATGAGCAGGCCCCAAAGGCCTGAATGGGGGTCTAAACATGCTGGGAGTAGGGGCTCATGCAGCTAGTATATCACACCGACTTACCGGACGCGGACACTGGCGTAGCGCGCCAGCGCAGGGGAAGGGGGGCACAACAATTGAGGCTCTTGGGGCAGATTAGTGATGTAGGGTTTGTAACGACGGGCATGTTGGTGTTTGTTTGTGTTGCAACTGACCGGGCAACTATACAGCGGCACGTCTGAGTTCCTTTCCCCCACAAGGCCCCACGACAGGGGCGCACCATGCCGTGCGGGGAGCCTCGACCTCTCCCTTCACCCCGGACAACAGAACAGGGTTTAGGACGTACACACTCTTCTGAGGGGGACATGGGGAGCCAGTAGAGTACTTCGGCAGACACACTGGGTTCTACTGCCGTGCAACTTGGAAATTTCCTTTCATGCAGTCTTATCCTGAAGCTTCGTTGTTTTCTTTTAGAAGCCTCTAAGCAGCTCTCAGAGGGCAGCAGTCTGTTGACTGTGGCTTGCACTGGTGATTCGTCGATTGTGCTTTGGACTGTGAGGGGAGGCCCAGTTGCGAATGAACATGGTTCAACTACGGCAAGGATGAAGTCGGTGAAGACCCCTTCGCCCAGTTGTCCAGCTGACCGGGTGGGGCAGGACTTCCTAAAACCCTGCCGTGGACTGTAGGTGCGCGCTCGCGTGCGGGGATTGGACGGCCGTCCTTTCCCTCTGTCCTGGTAGAGAGAGAGGGTTTTCAGGCTGCTGGTTATCACTGAACCAAGCCTTAAATGAAGCAGACCGAACAGGAACCCGACCGGGACGCACCGCCTGCGGTTCAGTGCAGCGATAACGATCACGACTGCTGTGCATTCCATAAATGGAGTTCCAAGATCCTCAGCGAGGCAAAGAGCCAGGAGAAGGCTGTTACAAGGGAGTACCACTCTGTTACGCAGACTGCGGATACCAAGCAGCTCGAAACAAGAACAAAGCAGCTGCACCGACCAAAGGTGCAAGCGGCCGATTCGGCAGGCCAGGGCGGTTCTGACTGTTTGGAGTTCGACTCTTACAGCGAAGGTCTCCGCTACTCTAACCGGCCGTCTCACACGGGGATAAACACTGCCCACCTCGCATACCTCTGGCCCACGATCTCCCACCATCCAGTCAGCAAGGGGTTCGTCAGAATGAGGCCGCTCGACACGAATCTGAAGACTGCAAGCGTCATTTACGAATCTGCGTTTGCTGGGCACCCCGTGCCGCCCTTCCGACGACCTTTTCTTCGAAACTATCCGACCCTTTGACCCGACCACCCACCCCGTTAGAAACAATGTTTGGAACCAAGTGTGTGCGGAAGGAGGGGTGAGGGCTTGAAGCGGCTGTCCCGCTGTGGCAGGAAGATCTCTTCTTCGGGAAGGAGATGGAGGAGCTGCCAGGGGTTTAAGTTTAAACGATACGAGGCCGATGGCATGGCGCTCAAATTTGCTTGTAGAACAAACTTCTGCAGGAGTTTGTGCCCATGAACGCTGCAGCTCAGAGCATCTTGAACTTCACAGACGCTGGCTTGCACCAGGAAAAGAGCTGTTGCAGTAATGTCGGGCCAAGAAGGCTTCGCCTTCGCGATGGCTTGTGGCTGCTCAATGGGGGAAGCGGTCAAGTTTTCAATGACATGAGTGCCAACGTCTAAGACTTACACGTGAGGGGTCTGCAGGGATCCCACTCCGCGGAAGATCTGCAAGACCCCACATACATACTGGTCTGAGGCCCTGTGCCTGTGACGCAACAAACACACACAAACATAGGAACATATAGGAAAATCTGTTGTGGAGGCATGTTGGGACTCTTTTCGACTCTTTTCAATCTAAGGTGAATGCGCTGGAGATGGTCGTTGGCAAGCTGAGCTATAACAGCCCTGGCGACCCTCCAGAGGTACCGATGTCAAGATTGCAGGGCCTCAAACCTTGCAAAAGCATTCTGAGTGTGTGTGTGTGTGTGTGCTGCGTCCTAGGAGTTCGGTCCGATTCTTGCTAGGGTCTGTGGGGTTGAAAGGGTTGGTGCTGCAGTGCTGCTGTGCAAAGAGATAGTCGAAACATGATGAGTGTCGTTCACGAATAGGGTGTGTATGGTTCAGCAATACTGTTGGGAGGCCGCTGTATCTGCGACAAGAGTCGCCAACACACGAAACGGTAAGCGTTGGAACTCGAGGAAAGGAGGTGTTTTTCCCATCATCAAGGCTCCTTGCGGCTTGGTGCTCCGCCCCAGCATATCAAAATATGGCTTTTATTGAGGTGGCTGGAGAACGCGAGCGCCCGGTCATCACGCTCCCGCTTTGGTCCTTTGATCAGTTCATCGTCACCGAAGAAGGCCAATATGTCTTGTTCAGCATGTTCAGGTTTGAAGCGTGGGTTGATGAGGTATGCCGATTTACGTATGGGCACTTCTGCGTACACCTACTCGTAGGTTGCGGCTCAAGGGTCGATGGATTATTGATTCGAGATCCTTTAATAGGAGTTTCCATTGCGGCGGTATACTGCTTCAACTTCATGACCGTTCTGCAGTGGTGGTGTTAACTCGACCGCCTTCCAGCAAGGAAGTGGCTTTGTCGCTGCTTGAAGGGATCCTTAGCAGATGCGGCAGAAAGGTCGAGCATGCAGCATCGGACCGTCACACGTCAACTCCCCCAACTTGAATATCCAGCATTGTCGAAGTATTGGAGTCTAATCTTTTCTGGGCTTTCGAGTGCACAGTTCGAGCTTCCCTGCCAAGGTGCAACACCGCCAGAGCTCACGGATCCAAATTTGCACAACCTGGGTCACAAGCGCTTCTCGGTTCAAACGTGGGGGCAGGAGGAGGTTAACCTTCCAATGACGGCATCCCCAACTTACACGTCTGGAGGTCAGAATGCTTGAGGCCCAGCCAACGACCGGAACCTCAGATGACTGTCCATCGGGCGAAAATGCCATGCAACCCAGAGTGACGAACACTGTCACAGCATCGGCACTTATCAACAGGCATGGATGCTGCAGTTTACAACCGACTGTCACTGCTCGCTTAGTAATTGCAGCAAGCCCAAGACCTGCTGCGTGCACCATCAGATCAGATAGTGCCGCATTGCTCGGCTGTTTCGTCCACTTGTCAGCAAGAATCTACACGAAGCTACTTACTTCCACAAGCAACCGAACACGATTGCCAACTATCCAGGCTGCGGCCAACTGCACAAGTACAAAGACATGGTGAACGGCCTCAAACTCGTACCAGGGCCGACCTTCACGCTGCTCGTCACCACGAGGGGCTCTGGTGGTCCGGAAGAAATAGGAAGTGTATCGATGATTTGTGGTGGGGCTCGGGGCTGATGAGCATCGGTGGAGGAAGCGTGTTCGGGCTTTGGGCGCAGGCACGGGAGCTTTACCGTAATCGTACTCGGAGCTCAGGGGCAAGATGTATGAATATGCATGTAAGACAGTGAGAGTTCCAACCTGTTGATGTACATTATGCATGCATAGTAGCTTGTTGAGAAATCGACTCTCCTGCGCATGTGTCATGAACTCTGGGCACCGAAGCGCCCAAGTGAAAGGCCACTGCCTGGAAGGCTTTTCTCCGAGTTCGAGTCGAGGAGTAGTAGTAGCAGCAGTAGTGGAGGAGTAGCCGCAGTCATTAGTACTAGTAGTAGTAGTAGTAGTAGTAGTAGTAGTAGTCTAGTTGTTGTGGTGGTGGCAGCAGCACTAGCAGTAGCAGTAGCCGTAGCAGTAGCAGTCGCCGTGGCCTTTGCGGTTGCAGTGACAGCGGCGGGGGCAGGGGTAGTGGCAGTGGCAGTGGCAGCGGAGCAGGTGTTGGTGTCGGGGTCGGTGTGTTTGTTGTTGTTGTTGTTGTTGTTGTTGTTGTTGTGGTTGTCGTTGTCGTTGTCGTTGTCGTTGTCGTTGTCGTTGTCGTTGTCGTTGTCGTTGTCGTTGTTGTTGTTGTAGGCATGTAATCGTAATCGTAATGGGCGTAACCATAGTAATAGCAATAAGCATAGATAATGAGTAACTTGTAAGAAGTACTAAAAAGAGACCACAGTTAGTAGGCTGTACGTGGCTGTAAGTAGTATGTAGTAAACTCTAAACGGCAGAAAGTGCAAGCGCATAGAAAATGGTAAGTAAGTAAGCCATAGATCAGGAAACAATATGCAACAAAGCGTAAACAAAAAGATAGTAACAAATAAATAGGATATTTAGGACATGGGAAATGGGAAATGAGAATGGCAATGGTTATCGGAATAATACTGGTCCGACCTCTAACAGTGCCAGCAAGAATATCTGAAGTTGTAAGAAGAACGCGACCGACAGCTTGACTGGGTCTGCATGATAAACCTGAAGATACTGGCGAAGACAGGTTCTGCATTTGGGGAGTGAGCCGTTTCCTTGATGTCATCCAGTGGAAGCTGGCGGTACCCATCCCTTTCCTCGGTCCTCTGGATCTGAGCCGCAGCTGAAGAAGTTGCACCTATGTTTGGAATGGAGGATGAGGATCGTTGTGCTAATGGGTTCTCAGCCTCTTTCGCTGATTCGCAGTGTGGTGTTGGGTTCTGAAGGCCATTTGAGAAGTTCTGTTGCAACACTCGGAAAGTTGCAGAACGGGGTCGGGGGTGCACTGCGGCATTCGCTCCCTCGCCTGGAGCTTTGTCAGGACGCTGGCAACGAGAAGAGACATTTACAATCTCGGAAGTGCCTTTCTCAACTTGCCAACACCGAGGGAAGGGGGGGGAGGGCTGGAGAGAAGGCAGTGACGTCTGGAAAGGAGGGGAGGGTTGGGAAGGCGGAAGAGGCGCAAATAAGTTCGTCACGAAAGAAGACAGCCCGGGCGAATTTTCACACGCGTGCCATGCATGTCCACGCGTGCTCAGGCGCTATTTGTTCCGCCTGAGCTTCTGGAGCTCGCTTCAACGCCCCGAGCAGGAGGCGGTCGCTGTTGCAGCGTTTTTCGGACTATTGTGTCAGAATGATGGCTTGAGGCTAAGTTTTGTGGGGCTGGTCGAAAGAACTGACAATTGATTGGCCAGCACAGCTGCGAGTGAATGGGCATGGCGACGAACCCGACACTAGCTACACCTGGAACAGATCTTGACCTTGAACGCATGCTTTACGCATCCGTCCGCAGGCAAGAGGCTATGCGGATTTAAGTAGCATTTGACACTGGCCGCAATAAACCAGAACTCGTCGACCGGGCATAGTACGGCACTGCAGCGATGCGCGATGGTGCACGTATGTCCAGGACATACGTCGCTTCGCTGGACAATCCTTGCAGAGGCTGTGCCTGGGTCAATGGTATTTCTGTCAGCTTGGTCTTTTGTCGTTGAGGGTTTGTCGGATTGCCGAGGGCCAGGACTGAAAAGAACGCACGCCTCACATTTCGCGTTCACTTCTTTGATTTAGGCTGAGCCTGTGCCACACGCTCTAGGCACAGCACGGCTGCACATCGACAGTACCAATGCACCATGGACTTCTGCCTTGTAGGGCCATAGCACTGACGAAGCATGGCCCGATGGGCCCACCTCTTTCTCAGGATGCTATCAGTCTACAGAAGCTTTAGGAAAGGGGGGCCATAACCGGCAGGGCTGGCTTGCGGCGTCTCGTCACCAAGGCAAGGACTGGTTCTGGGACAGCCCTTTGCTTGTGTTCTTGCTAGGGTGCCGTGGCTTTGCGACAGCAGGACTATGTTACAGCAGACGAGAGAGCAGCCAAGCAACAACCAAAACGGGACAAAGTAGCTGCACCAAATTCAGAGCAGCCAGAGTAGCATTTTGGTGTTAGTATGCAGACACTCACACTGACGTCCCTAAGGTGTGGCTTCAACCCATTCCAACCCTGGCAGAAATTCGGAGATTAGCCTTGCAGCCTTTGCTGCTGCATCCCTCGTTCCGCATCGATGGTTTCGTGCCGGGACCTGTGGTTACTTTGCGCCAGCTCGGATTTGTCAAGTTACCAACTTGCAACATCGGGTCAGGCCTGTCTCAGTCAACCCTTTGGTAATGAAAACACGGCTGCGGCAAGGCCGCATCTTTTCCTAATTCGGAGCAAGTTTACAGTTAAACGGCATGCGACGAACATCGTTGCAAGTTTTGAGCTTGCGGTGCGTTCCATGCAATCAAGCATGCGCGGTTGGGTTGTGGCCATCTGCTCTAGGGCACAGGACCCTAAGTTGTGGCTTCAATCAAGTCCTGCGTGCACCTGAGCCTTGCGTGTGGTGCGCGTCACTGGTCCGGTGACGTCGGTCTGTCTTTGTTGCTGGAAGAACCACGCTTGAGCCTCCGACAAGGGAATTTGCGTGGTATGCTTAGAAGGCCATGACGAAGAGAATTTGTGGGGCACTGTACCCTCAGACTTGCAGCAGTGCCCCACTGAACATTAGCTGAAGAACCGCAGATGTCCATTTGATTAGAGCTGTACATCGGCTCATCTTTCGGCCTCTGCGAGGAATTGTGATTTGGAGCGTCTAAGTTCAAAGGTTCTGCACCTAGATATCGTCACTTGGACTTGGGGTGTCTATCTGGGGTACGTTTGAAGCCAGTTTTTCTGGAGACACTTCGCAGGGCAGCTGGGGCTTAGCCTATAAGACAGTTCTCAAACCGGAAGAGCTGCCGCCGAGCTCGCTTATGACTAGCAGAAAGAAAGGCCGCATGTTCGCTGCTGCAGCCCCACGGCCGCTGGGAATTTACACTCTGATTCGCAGTGTCGAATTTCATATTTCGCTCTCAGGAAGGACTGAGCTGTTCTTAGGATGACGGTAGGGGTTTCGCAGACAAACACGTGGGCACCAGCTCACTAACCGTCATGCAAGCACGTCTTCGTTGCGTCTTGAAGGAAGAGCAGATGTCGTGTCTTTTGATGAAGCGTTAGGACAGAAACACTTTAGCCGGACAGACGCAGCCAACACGTCGTCGAGTCTGGCATGCGCGAACCAGATGTGGGGGGCCATTAGGTGGTCGCCGGCAGCAGCAGCAGAGGCTAGTACACCAGGCATGATGCAAAGACTCAAGAAAATAGTACCGCAGGCAAGTATTAGTGAAGAGCCACAGACTGCGCAATGCTGGCAATGCCCTGCTTCCACAATGTGGGCTGGGCTCGTTCTGATAGCGGTGACGCTGGTTGCCTCGCGCGCTGCCGAAGACAATCTGCGGATTGCATTGCAGCAGGTGACCGGACTGACAGACACAGAGCTGTCCCACTTTGCCGATGAGCTGCTCGCCCTGCAGCCGCCATCCCAACGAGACCTTTGGCAGAGGAAAGTTCACTGCACTTTGGGGACTTGTGGAGCGGAGGCAACGAGTCGCCTCATCGCCGCTCTGGGCGAGAATGAGAAGTTGCCTTCCAGGACCTTCGAGCTCTTTCCTGGTGACCCTCTCTATGAATACTGGAAGGAGTCGGACAGACAGAAGTTTCATTCCTGGATTGATGGGGAAGCTGCAGAGGAAGAAACGATCGAAGCCTTGATTCCTGAGGGGCAGCCGCTGGCATCTGGCCGAATCCAAGCAGCTCACTTTACTTGGAAGGTGAAAGATTTGGTCTTGAAGCTTCTTGGCCCGGCAGCTGGGGCCTTTGGCGCCTTGGGGCGCTGTTTGGAATGGGACACCCCCTTTTACACCATCAAAGCCTTTGGGCCGCTCTGCTTTCGCCACGATGTGCTTCAGTACGCCGATCCCCGCGCCGGCCATCCTGAGAAGATGCAGACGTACAGCAAGGGTACCAGGCGCCCCAGAGCCTCCCGATTCGGGTTGAGACAGTGGTGTCGTGCATACCATGCGGACGTCAGGAAGGATGGTTCACACTCACACGAGCTTTCTCGTTCTGCCCATAAGGCCAAAAGATCCTTTCCTTTCCTTTCCTTGCCAGGGTGATGGCTTTGGACGTTCTTCGGCCACCCGCTTGGATGCCTTCCGACTATGGCCTGGCCGAAGCCTCAGCTCAAAAAACAGCTTTTTCTGGCTTCTTGTATGTTCTTGTCAACGGTTGTTTGAGATTTAAGTTACCGTAGTAAAGAAACGCAACTATCTATTGTAGATCCCCACGATGGTAACTTAAATTACATCCCTTCATAAGATCCCAGTTTCAGCGCATTGCGGAGCCTTTCTGTAGGCCAATAGTTGAAGGGTCCCAGGGCCCGGGCCAGGAGCTTCAGGGTCGGGCTCTCAGAAAGAAGACATTGAGCTATTTCGGCAAAACATACGGAGCGGAAGGACGGTTGCGTGGCACTGCGCCCTAGGTGCCAGTCCGAACCACCTGGTTTGGTTTGGGGCAGCACGCTCAAGGTCGAAGTTGGAGGGTTCGTAACGGAGCTTTCCTCCGGAGCGTTGTCCAGCTTGAGTTTGGATGCCAGTGTCTCCCGGTTTCATACTTTCGACTCGGGTGCTGCAACTTTCACACGAATTGTCAAAGATGCGCACAAGACACCAACAGACCTCGAGACTGTCATTACATGTCTTCTCACGTCTGTGGCAAAGACCCCTGCCCCCTCTCTTCACCCAAAGCCTGCAGCACAGCTTTGACAACGTTTCGGAACTCCTGACCCGCGGCTGGCTGAGTCAGCTTGCAACCGCCAACAGAGCTCGTGCTGCCGGGACACGATTATGTTTACATCCTTGGGGGAGAGGATCTTGGCAACAAAACCGGCTTTCGAGGCAAACATTCATGACAGTCGTGCTTTACGAGGCTTCTCGCCACTCTTCACACAGCAATGCAGCCCATGTTCCTTTTGTGTTC